CCTTTGGTGCTGTGTATCGACGGAGGTTCGAATCTAGAGTCGGGCATGTCACGGATTACTTGGTTCTCTCTTCTTTCTATTTTTTCCATTCTTTGTCAACTAACACACAAGACCACGTCTTTCAGCAACGGCATATCGAAGGTCTTCATCGCACGATCGCACTGTCATCGGTGGTGAACTATTCTGACGAAAGAGAGCACATCGACAACTCTCCCGGCCCGTCGACACCAGTGTTTGTATCGAGCTTGGTTGGGGGTGAGTTCGGAGTACTCAGAAATATCCCGCATCTCACGAATGGCATCGGCACTCTCAGATTGAACAACAGCAAGCGCTCGTCTTCCATTTTTGGTAGGGATTAGCGGCGGCACCCTCGCTCTACAAATCCCCTCCACCACCGTCACAGTCAAAGACCTTCACAATCGGAACTCGCATAACGTTTCTCATACCCGCGGAGACGACGGCTGTCTACCTGAGGACATGCTTCGCCGAGACGTCTGCCGTCGATCCAGCGTACTCAGAGAGGAGATAACGCTTTTCCGAGAGTGCGTCTGGGTGCTGAACAAACCGTTCTTTCCACATTACATAGGATATCACAGTCGGTTGCGTCTGTTTGTAACGCAAAGCCTTCACCGCCCGCGAGGTCAGAATCCAGGTCAGAGGACCGGTTGAAAGACCAAGATTTGCTGATGCGAAGCCAATCTCAGCCAGCCAAAGACGATATCATGCAGACTGGTCCATTTAGAGGGCTTGTTTTTCCCGGGAGATTGTTTAAGGAGGAGAGATCTACCTGTAGCTCGCCTTCATCGCAGGACTCCCTTGATTAGTGGATAGTTCCCAACACTGACTGTAACTGCTGCTTATCAGGAGGCCTGGGGAGCAATTCTAGGGATGCCACAGCTGTCGTCTCCGGTGACTAGCCTTCAGATGACACTCTCATTCTCTCGAGAGCCGCTTTCGAAGTCTCTACATAATCACCACATATCAACGACGAGGAGCAGAACGACAACTCGTCCTTCGAACTTATCAAGTTCAGATATTCGAGATGAATTACAATGTATTTCACGACTCTATCAGTAAAGCCCAAGGAAGCGCTTAAGAGCTCAGAAAATATCTGGGGCACTCGTACTGTATAGAATACACTCGTCAACATCTAGTGGTAATTAGAGTCGCAGCAGAAGATTTTGATGTAAGGCGTCGCTGCAACACTAGTGATTAAGATGCTCGGCCGTGGAAGATCGGTACGAGAGCAGGAGTCGAAGAGCGGTTCGAGGTTACCAAGGTGACTTGGCTACCAGAATGCAATAGTCCTCTGGAAGACAATGATTTCACAAGACCATAGAAGCTCACAAGCAACAGATCGTGTTGCTTGCGCTGAACAGTTTTGCACTCTCTAGATTGCGCGTACTGTACGTCATTTAGTATCTCCCATCTGTGCTCGGCTAAGCTATGTCATCCAGTTTTATACGCAGTAGCCGACTCTCTTCGAGGAGCTTCATATACTGATTTCTGATGCGATCCATTGTCTCTCTCAGCTTCGCACTCACGCCATTCGAGAGATATCTCTTATTATTGATACAATCACTAATTAAATTTTCCTAATCCTCCGAGAGCTCCAGTAGCGTCGAGTATTCTCTGTCCTCTAGAGTGTCGATCTCTCACAGACTCAAATCCGAGCTTCCCCCCTCACTGCCTGCCGCTTCGGAGAGACTTTTGTGGTCATCTCTTCCATCGTCCATCGGATAGTCATTCCAGTCTCTTCTTTCAGCTTCTTGCTTCCCTTTCTTCTTATTGACGCCAGGTGAGAAGGTTCCTCGAGGACGTTCAGTAGGCTGCTGCGCTGACACGAAGCCTGCTCGGAGGACGACGATGCCATTTGTGTGTTGGATTTGGTATGAACGAATCCAAGCTTGAGCCAGATGGGTACTGTTGTCAGAAAATAATCTATGTTACTCACTACACGGGGAGTCATCGTCCCCTTATGTATGTGTATCAATTGCTAGGGTTCACGTTCCTTTTTCACGGTATATCGTTCAATTCAAATGAGCAGCTCGATTATACTTCTACTCTAATGAAGTGGTCCCGATCAATAAGGCTCAACCCAGTCAGTCCTCTTCATCACACTTCGTTGATGGTAGATGGATCCCGCACCTCAATTCGCAACTAGCTCGCATTCAAATTCTCAACTCACTCCAACGTCCGATATGTCGCCATCTACTCCTAGTCCATCCGTCCACTAACGGTTCCTAAGGTCCGCAAGTCCATAGGAGGTTCGGTATTGTCCCAACAACTCTCCGAGGGTCCGAGTAGGGGAACCCGATCGCTCTACTACTACGAAGTCGAGTTCTGTTAATTCGTCATCTCGGACAAGGGTCTGTGTCAGGTCTGATCCTCCATTGGCGAGGCACCCCACGTTCTCTTATAGTATGCTGATCTGATCGCTCTAGTCAGCTCCATCGGGCATGCGATATAGTCTCATTGCACGGTGACTCAGGTTACCATTATTCTCCGGCAGCTCTTCGGTAACATTTCTCATCCAGTGGGGGTCATCACTGACGGATTGACCTCGGGTTCTCCCTGGGTAGAGAAAGGTCAGCTACATCGGCTAAAAAATGGCTATACTCTATGAACGTTTCCCTGGCGATAATGCTACCTCACGGTATATCCTAGTGTGGGTGGTATGAGAGGGGCCCAGGTTTGCAAATTCCTCAAGGTATATGTGATGCAAGTCGAGGACAAGTCTAATTGGACGAGTAACATTGGCCTCACTCAGCTTTTTATAAATATCATAGTGATATTATCACTTCCTACTCCCAAGAGTCATCTCTAGCTCCTATTGATCTAGTATCCACGTCCGAAACCCGACGACCCTGGGAACATCACGCTGCGGGACTGGATGATG